TAAGGAAGTTACTTACCGCAGTAAAGGAACTTAGATAAATTACGTGAAGTAACTAGAGAAGATTATTCCCGGTGACAATGTTAATATGAATAGTTTAGACAAAAGTGTAGTTAATAGGCATTAATATAAGAACAATAGATAAATTTGATTCTTTTCAATTATTATTGCAATCAATAAAATAAAGGCATATTAGTATGATTTTTTACACATCTTGTATAGGAGGTGTAAATTGTATATGTTAATTATACATACTATGAATAAGAATTTTTTTTGGCAAAGTTGCGTGATCCCAAAAATCATGTGAATTTTTTTTATTTTAAATATTTACTGGTAATGTTAGAATAGTATTTATTAATCATGAATTATTAAGGTAATATATTATTGAACTTGAGGCTGAGAATATGAAAATGAAGTAGATTATAAAGAAAATGTCAAACGTGAATCTAAAAATATTGAACTCAAAGTCTAGAGCCTAAGAACTCGAGCAGTATATTACTAAACTTAAGACCAGATTTTTAAAATCAAAACAGGATTCTTTTATAGTAGTTGAGCAGTCACAGAATGATGATTTCTTTGAGATGGATATGCTGAAAGACACTTCATATAATATACTTAACTCACTTGACTTAAAAAACTCTATTATAAAGCAAAACTATAATGCTATTTCTTCACTATCTTGTGTGAGTAATCAGAGGATAGGGAAATAAACGCTTTCTTAAATGATAAAATGATATACGTAAGAAAGAAATTACTAATATTATGAGACAGGAAAATGAGAAGAAAAAGCTTCAATCTCAAGAACAATTAGTTGGTAATAATAATTTGGTTATAAAAGAATCTTCACAAACATTTTGTGAATAAAATTCACAATTTTGAAAAATCATATGATAGAGTTTATAATCAAAATATTGACAAAACTATAAAGGATGATTAGTTAGATCGTAACTCATTCTTCTTCTTTAAAGATGATGATAAATAATAAAATATGACTTGATGTAATAATTATCTATCCTATCCACTATTAGTATAAATGCAGAAATTTGTTTACCTATTAGTAATCAATGAAAAACAGCAATTTCTGTTACAGAGTCTATATATTTCGAAAAGCAATTCATTCTGATTATGAAAGATTTTATACTAATACGACTTTGTAGAGAGTTATGATAAAAAAATTTATGAAATTTATACTATCAACAAAGTTAATTTGTGATTTATGTAATAATCAAAAGAAATTACTATGTCAAATTAGAGGGAATTTTTGTAGATCATTTAGTAAATCAGAAAATTGCGTTTTTAAAGTATTATTAAAAAATCATCTGATGTATAGTTATATAGAAGGCGGTCAGTAGAAAAGGGAAAATCCAAAATTTTTGTTAATTTTTATTATTAAGCCATTGTGCATATGATCGAGATTAGCCAAGTAGTCTAATAATATAAATTTGACTAAAATTTAGATTTCCCCTTTTCTACTGACCACCTCCCATATAACTATTTTATTAGCTAATTATAACAATGATGATATAATATTTTCTTATTCTCAGTAACTTTAATTTGAAGGAAATAGATTCCAAACTAATTTGATCACGTAATTTCAATAATTCAGAATTTTAATTTTATCTTTTTTTATAATTTTTTTATATATTCTTTTATAAAACTATTTTATATCAATATTTTATATTTATTTTTATCACTTTATCATTTATTTATTTATTTTTATTATGAACCCAATGCTCCTAATATATTAATAAATAATTTTACTATTTTTTGATAATGTTGTGCTGAATAATGAAAGATCTAACTTTAAATAGTTTGTAATTTTGAAATCTCATCATCTTCTAGTTCTCCTTCTTCAACTTTACTTTTAGACTTTCTAACAAGTAGTAGAAGTAAATCATTTACTTTTATCAATGTTTTCTTCTAAGAAATATCCTTCTAAAATTTCTCATACTCTTTTAGATATATCCCATCCAGACTCTAAGTGAAATCACAAAAGAAATTCCTATTGAAAAGATAAATTCTAATTTGTAAAACAATACTACATAATTTTCAAAAACAAATTCATTTATCATATAATATTTTGATTTTCTTACTTTTCAGAAATATCTTCAAATAAAATAAGCAGTAATTAGATATTTTATTTCAATACTTCTTATGAATTTTTTGTTTACCTCTTTGTATTCTTTTCATTTCATTAGCTAAAGCAAAGTCTAATTCTTTAATCAATTCATCTATTTTAGCAAATTTGGTATTGATATTTCATTTTGTTAGTTTAGATAATAATTGTTATTTTATTAATCTTTTAGAATCAATACCTAAATTGAAGATGAAGCATAGGTTAGATGTATGTCCATAAAAAAAGTTGAAAAAATATTTTTTCATTTGATGTATTTGGCATAGCAACTATTCAATTATTTTTAGGATTTATATGAGTTGATACAATGAATTTTAAATTGCTTTTTTCATAAATTAACTATTTATGCTAGTGAAAATTTATCTATTTTTCAATATTAGAAATCTCTTAATCAAGAATATAATTCTCTATTAATTTTTCTTCTAGCTAAGTCCATTCAAATAAATTAGAATTACCAGATAAAGTATTTTTAGCTTTCTTATTTTGACCTATAATAATTTATTGATTATTATTTCCTTTGATTTTAAACATACTTTTTATTCAATTTAATTCCAGATATTTCACAAATCTTTCACAAATATCTTTAATCATAGTTTTAATATCAGCTCCTTTTATTATATATAATTTAAGATGCATTTGACATTTAATTACATAGATAATCTATAAAATAAAATGTTAGATACTCATTATATAAGTAGGTCAGATTTTATTTATTTATTTATTTTTGCTTAATACCTGAACATGATGACTATTAAAGGTTGTTTTTACTTCTCTCACTTTCAAAATTATCTATTTCTTTACATTTATTTGATATTATTTTAACTAATGTTCTAAAATTATCATCAAATATGAATTATAATAATGTAGCTCATTGTGGTAATCTATTTTGGCTTACTTTCTAATGATTCAATTATAGCATGTAATAATTAAGCAGTGAATTAAGAGTCTTAACATATATCTATTGATTAATGATTTGGGCATGAACATCGGTTTTTTGATATTCTGTCTTTTTAGTATACATAAGAATTAAATATAATATCTACCTTTTTTTTCCAAAAAATTCTGCTTTAGTTTTTTTACCATTTTTTGGAAGAATTTTTATCTTATAATCTACAACTAACACATATTATTTTCATTTAAATCCAATAGATTAGTATTGTATTAAGCATTCAAAAAATCTTATGAATTTGATAGGTAAGATAATATATTAAATAGTTTTAATATTTATTAAGATTATTATATAAATCTATAAATAATTCAGCACATTCTTAAAATGCATATGTATTTTGTTCTATATAAATTCCAAAAATCCATAACAAACAATAACTAATATAAGAATTGTATTTTATTATTTCTTTACCATTAACAATCAGATTTTTTTTATAATTTTTTTTCAAAAATCATTGTAATTTTTCTAACTCATCAAGAAATTGTTTCTAAAAGTAATAAAATAAAAATTAGTTATTTTTAAACCAAGAATTTTATTAGTTATATTTATCTTTTTTATCATATTTATAATCCTATTTTCAATAAACTTTATAATATCATCAAATATTTCATATTCATATTAATTACAAATTAAACAAAGATCATTTAGATCTTTTCAATATATATATTCATTTTCTTGTAATTTTGTCATAAAAGTTGTGTAATAAATTTTATTAGGAAGTTCAGCATAGAATTTTTTCCAAAGAGATTATTTAGTATCACAAAAATATTTAATTAGTATACCAGTTTTACTATGAATTTATAACTACATTTACCTTATCATTAATAAATTTTTCAAATTCTTGCAACTTTTCAATAAATAGTTTATCATGTATAAAAATGGATTTTTTTTTCAAAAAATCATCAGGTCCATATCAGTAATAGTAAGTACATGATTTTATTATTAAATCATTTGAAATCTAATATAAAAATTTGGTTATTATTATAAAATCAAAAAACAAATTTGATTTTTTTTATTACTACATATTAATAATTGATTCTGCAGGTCTTTATACTTGAAATCATTTGTTATTATAAATAAAATTCTTTGTTTCCTATTATTCACCTTTTTGTTAATTATTAAACTTTTTGAAAATAATTTCAAAATGTATCAGACACATCATAAAAATTATTGATTATGCTATCAAAAAGTCAAATTTATATAATATTTCAATGCATTTTTTTCAATATTAGAGTTTTGTGATCTAGTTCAAAATTCATATTATAATAAATTATATAAATTAGAATATATTTTATATATTGAAATAAATTACATTTTTTTATCATCTTTTACCACTGAATCTTGTCTTGAAAAAGATGTTATATTATAATTTAATTTACACTTATTGAATTGATAATTTATAGTATATAAATTTTTTTAGATTGCTAATTTAATTATCATTTCCTGTTCCTACTACTTTCTTAAAAAATCACACTAATCAATATTACTAATAGTTCATTTTTAAAATAATAAGAAAATACATTTTTTATAAGCACATTATTATTCTAATTATTTAATAAATAAAAAAATTTTTTATAACTTGAATCAATTGCTATATTAAAGCATTTTCAATTCTAAATAGCAATTTTCCAGTATCATCAATTTAGCAATTTTTATTCCTTATTTACTAAAAATTCTTTCTTATATAAGATCAGGTATATTTTCATAATATATTTTTTCAATTATTATTTTTTGCATTATAGTTATCTTACATATATTTTCTTCAAATTCTTGAAGAAATAAACAATGTTTCTTTGCTAGTTAAAAAAAAATTTGACTTATACCTAATACTAGCATATGCTCATTAATTATTATCAGATTTTGCAATTCCAAATACAAAAATACATACTGATTTAAGATTAATGATATAGGAGGCAGTCAGTAGAAAAGGTAAAATCCAAAGTTTTTGTTAATTTTAATTATTAAACTAACTTTGTGCATATGATCGAGATCAGCCAAATGATCCAATAATATAAATTTTGACCAAAATTTGGATTTTTTCCTTTTCTACTGACTGCTTCCCATATATAGAAAAAATGAAACTTTTTTCAATAATTTTTATAAATAGTTAGCTTATTGAATCTTATTATTATTTAACCTGAAAATTTGGTTTTAATACGAAATATCTGTTAATGAACTATATATATTGCATTAGTACTAGAATTACTTGGCTCAGTAATAAAAATGGATTCACAAATACAAAGATATTCTGATTGTTCAAAATGTTTTTTATTATTCTTTACAACTGTTAAAATAAAATTGTACACATTTCTTATAAGAAATCAAAATAAGAAAATAATACATTTTTTATAAGGTTTGTATACGTAATTGATGATTCCATATCATAATTCTGTATGTTTTACAATGATTTATTTTTTTATAATTTTTTAGAAAATTTATATATATGAAATTATTAAGGAATTTGAAATAACGTATAAATTTTACATAAAATAAAAAAAATAAAAAATAATAATATTCAAACCAAAAAAAAATTTTTTTTACTATACTTTGAAT